GAAATGTCGGAAAAGCAGTTGACAAAAAAAAAAAAAAAAAAATTGCACAAGTCCTGCTGCAAAGATGCTGTCTCCAGGGGTGGGTGACACATAAAGGTTCAGTCAAGAAAGACAATGGAGTGGCCAACACTGTTGGCAGACTTAGGCCCATCTGTGAATAGTGCAATGGAGTAAGTGCAAAGAAAGGTGTTGAGGTAAAAGGCATGTCAACAGTAGAAGTAGTAGTATAAGCCTTCACCCTTGTGGTCAAGCCTTGCAGAATTTTGCAAGTGGTAACAAATCCACAAGGGCCGTGACGAGGGTTTGAACCTACGTCCGAGAGGATCCCAGACGCTGCCTTAATCGACTGGGCCTGCGGGCCGCTCCAAGCAACAGCCTGGTGGACCAAACTCTCACAAGTCGAGCCTGGACTCGGGCCGGGCTTGGGGAGTAGAAGAACTCCCAGAACCCCATCAACCAGGTATCAACCAGGTAACCAGGACTGAGCTACGACATAGTTAAAAGAATTGCAATCGGGAAATCATCCTGATTTCCAGTCGATTAATTCAGCGTTTGGGATCCTCTCGGACATAGGTTCGAACCCTCGTCACGGCTCTTGTGGATTTGTTCATTTGATGCATCACACTATTGTGATTTGTGTAATGAAGTAAGGGCAAAGAGGTAGAACAGCCTATTGATATAGCTCAGGTGCATGGGGGAATTGCATAAAACCCTAATTTGTGTATCGGAGAAACTGCAGGATCCGTTGGTAAATCAATATGATTTCCCGGTTGCAATTCTTTTAACCATGTCATAGCTCAGTCGATTAAGGCAGCTTCTGGGATCCTCTTGGACGTAGGTTTGAACCCTCATCATGGCCCTTGTGGATTTGCTCATTTGATGCATCACGCTATTGTGATTTCTGTGAGTAATTTGCAAGTGGGACCCTCCATGGGAACAAGGTATCAGTCAAAGCACAGCATAATTGAGAGTGAGGATGTTGCAGGAACTGTGTGAGGTGGCAAAGGCAGTAATGACCACAATGATCCTGTTGAGATAGGATGCTGGTTTCAATGTACAAGCTTTGAGTAGGGAATGAATAAAAAGCACCTGAGGCATAACCCAGTATGGTGTAGAGCATCAAGATGATGAAGACAAAGGAGAGGCAAAGAGCAAGTCTGAATTTGTATTCAGGTACAGTGAGGTTTTAGATAATAACCTCAACAACAATTGGCCTAACTGCAGCAATTGAGGGAGAATGTATATTAAATTGCTGTCTTGGGATGGGGATTCACAGATAAGAGCATATATGTTGCAGTTTGCTGCAAAGAGGATATCGCCACATACAACCAGATTATACAGCTTTGAGAAATAGTGTATGATATAAACAAGTGAGTATATTGTACAGCACTTTGTTAGTACTGTACCAGTATTTATAAATGGAAACAAAAATGACTTGTCTCCCCCATATATGGTTTTTACCCCAAGTCATGCCAGACACAGTAAGATCTGGAAGGAATAAATTCAAGCAGATAAACTTTAATAAACAAAAATTTAATCTATAGATCTACAAGTCTGTTTTGTTATAGATTATTTTCTTCCACAGACATCACAATTAATTAGAATTGTAATTTGTTTTTGTAAATGCTCATCAATCACACTTTGTGATTACTGAGTACTTAATAACCAACTCCTATATGGCTTCATTAGTATGTGCAACTCCTGTCCCAACAATTGTACATTACTCTTATATTCTTTGTATGCACATTCTTTTGAATAAAATTTTTATTATTTTAATTATATGTAGAATATATCTCTAATCCCTACGTAGAACAGATAAAAATATATATATGCTGGTTAGCAATGTAAAATCACTTTAATCATTTGTGACCCAGTACTCAATAATCTACTTTTACTATAGTTAGTTGAAAATATCTCTAACTCTGTGTGTAGGAGACAAAAATATACGTACAGTATGCTGGTTAGCTAAAATGTGATGTAAGGGTTATTTTCTTTTAAAATCTGGATTAGTGTGATACTATCAGCTCAGCAATAGACAGTTAAAATCATTGAAAACTGATAATTCAGGACAACGATGAATACAAACTTTAAACCAAGCTATAGGAATATGAATGTATTCAATAAGGCCAAACGGCGACCATATGACATCTGAAAGTTCGAGCAATACAATTATCAAATTGTAGATAATTGCTAGTCCTCTACCCTGGGCTAGCAAGATTTAAATTTTATAATTCTGTGTAGCTTTGGTCATCAGATCACCGAATGGATAAGTTATTGAGAACAACACTAGTCTTCATCAAGAAGTAATAATTACCAGAGGAATGCATTAAGTCAAAATGGCTAGTGGCTACATTGCATTCTAAGAGCAATGAAGTTACAATTTTGCAATTTTAATGTAAAATGTTCTACACTTCAATTCTATCTTCCAGTGTAGAATGGAAGGTCATGTAATTGAAGCGTACAAATGTAGTATGCAAAATATAAATTGGGCATTGAGAATATCTCAGTAGCACACTTAATGAACCTAAATGTAGATTTAGAAAGAATGCAGTAATTAATGTGGCATGAATTGTGGAACACTGTCAATTAAAGTACGTAGTACCATTAAATAAGGTAAATAGCTTCGGTTTCTTTCGTAACACTATCGAAAATCCTTCGCTCTTAAGCAGGTTCAAATTCACCCACTGAAATTCTTATTTCTCTAAAAAAATTTGTTATCTGTTCATCATGTGATGTACTGTAATTTCATCAAATCATATCTCCTTTTTTTTTCTTCTTGTTTTTGTGAATATTTAATATACAGTATTTATAAATGTTATTGAAAATAATGCACTGAAATTGTATACATTTTTTTTTACTATAACATAAGTGGTCTATCAAACATTTTTAATTGTCTTTTCTTTCAATGGATCAATATTTACGAGTTGAAGCCACGTTGTTGCACAAGAGTAGTTAAGTTGGGTACATCAGACATGGGTAAGAGGAATTACTTTTCCATGGACAAGAAGGCAGTGTTATTAGAAAAACATGATTAAGTGGCAGAGGATTATTGGCATTGGTAATGTACTAGTGCTGTTACTGACAAAAAAGTAATCAATTTTGTTTGTAAATTAAATAAAGTGGTGGAAATAGAAATTCACACAAACGATTATAAATCTTCCAGCGAGAAGTAACAAAAACATTTGAGACCTTCTAAACATTAGGATTTGGATGGTGCTGTTTACTGATAATTTAAACAGCACTGTAGCCTGGGGCTGGCTGTTGCTTGTGGGACAGTTACAGTATGTAGCAGAGAGAATGGCATTAACCATAGGCAATGACTTTAGGGTAATGATAATAGTCTAACAGTAAGATATAGCACTGTAACTGTATTTTGCTGCCTCTGGATTATTAAGACCAGCCTTTGCTACAAAAGGATCAGTGAACAAATAACTTTTTTGTGTATAATAATTATTGAAATGGACAAATAATTATATATTATTTGCATGGCTAAATATGCTGAAACCGATTATAGCATTTGCAACCAGAAAAATCCAGAAAAAAGGTATATATAAAAAAAGGCCTTTATTGAATTCATTTCATTTAAATCTGGATTGGATTTGGAATGATCTATGCTGGATTTTTGAGGCAGCACTCTAGTCATAAATGAGCTGGACAGATACACAAGCTTTAGTACTAGAAAAATACTAGTACTAATTGAGTGTAAAGATTTTCACACGTGCCAATAGGCTTAGTAGCGAGTGATTCTTTACTTTTTGGGTCCTTATTCACATCTTTTTTTTAGAAGGGTAATGTGTTAGTTTTAAATTTGCATCAAATTTACTATACTTTTTATCACAAGGAAAATATTTGTTTAAACAAAAAATGTACATGACATTCTTTACTGAAGGAAGTAAGGTAGCATGTTTTCACGCTATAACAACATCCTTTCACACAAAATACGTGATACTCAAAGTTTGTCATGATTTTCCAAAATTAGTTTAGTATTCACTAAAATTAAGTAACTTTACAATCTATATTATTACAGTGAGTGCTAGACTTTAGTGTCTTGGTCAATCACTACAAAATAATTAAGTCAGTATTTACAAGACTGAATACTTCAGACATGATTACTCCCTAGACCTTTTACTACACACACACACAGTATTATATATATACATACTGTATATTATATAATTTGATTGCATCTAGCATTTTGCTCATTTTAATATCTTCAGCTTTTCCCCAATGGAAGAACTGAAGCCTTATTTTTTAAAGAAATACCATATTATTTATGGGACCCCACTGAATTTGTTTGTATTAATTGTTACATATGTTTTGAAAATTGCTTGTCCTCACAAGATTGAATTTCCCTGAATTCTAGTTTTGTCAATGAAGGCTGACAGACCTGGAATAGGGAGCAAATACCATGCCCAGACGAACAGCTTTACACAATAGAGGAAATTAATATATAGCAACTTATTTTACTACTGTTTCTCAAGTTCAGTTTAATAAAACTGAAAATAATTATCTCCATGTTATCAGTTGTTTTGTATGCATTTTGCTTGCTAGTACAGTACACTGTGGTCACATTTACTGAGAACTTTTACTTAGTCCATAAGTATATAATGTCAGCACTATTTTCCAGGACATCCAAAATTGCATTATGGTGGTCCAGCACTTGAGGTAGTATTGTCCTACTGTTAAGTCCCGATACTTTGGACTGTGTATTGTTACGATTCCGAGAACTTTTAAAGTTTACTTCAAACTATTCTTTCAAGGATTTTGGAGATGGGTGATGTTAATGCTGCCACTCTAGCTTTTCTTGTGCTTGCTTTCCGGCTCCTTTATTAGGTGGAGCTATTTTAGCAGAATTTAAGTTTTGTTAATGTCACCAGCATCTAGACTTTAGCTTGTAACACAAAACAAGAAACAACAGACATTGATACAATACATCTATAAAGTGAATACAAACCAAACTTTACCCAAATAAAGTAAAGGACTGCAAGTAAAATATTCAATGAAAAAAGTTACATTTTTTATTTAATTGTTATCTTAACTATATATTCCAATATTCTAATTACACATTAAAACATTTGGAATCTCCAAAAGTCATACTTTGCAAAAACACGTCCTCTATTCTTACATCTAAAAAATCTTAGCATCACTACATTCAAATTATCAATCCATCATACTGCAATATAAAATATCCTTAAAAAGTTCTAGCCATAAGCTACTCAGCACCAACTTCAACACCACTTTCCGTTTCCATATTTTCATTTTCTGGTTCGCACTCCTCGTTATTTTCATTTGCACTTTGTCCTTCATCCCCTCCATCATTACCACCACTCGCCTCAACCATATCAACCTCTTCAGCTTCCGATTTCTCTTTATCTTCATCCATTTTTTCGGCGCTGCCTTCATCTTCAACCTAATTTTTTTGTTTGTAACAAGAGAAAGAAGTGTAAAATACCAACTACATTTAGGTAAAAGAGTGAATGAACAAAACCATGTCAAACTCAATGAAGCACAACCACAAAATTTTGTTTCAATTAAATTTAAATCATTCAATAATACCAATATAAAGTGGAAGCTCTTAAACAGTGAACTTACTTTCTTTTTCTTGGCTGGAGATGTTTCTGCTTCACCACTTGAATTACGCTTTGCTGGCTCTGTAGCCGTTCTGCAAAAAGAAAAATATATCATTGAATTCCTGCCAGTAATTAAAAAAAACTTATAGTTAGTAAAAATAAACAATAGAATTAATACTTATCAACTTCTACATGAAGAAAATAAATGCAATATTTGCATTTACTTAGTAAAACAATAAAATGTATCAACTTTTATAAAAAGGAAAAATTAACAATGCCAATTTACTTAGTAAAACTGTGTTGAGTATTGAGACATAATTACTCGAAGTTCAACCACCGCAAATGCAAAGTTACCAACACAAAATAATAATAAACCTCAAATATTACTCCATACCCAACTTTCATCAGGTGGAGAAAATTATAATAATTTATGACGTTAAATATTACATTCAACCATACCATTATAGTTATTAGTAATGGTAATGTCACTTCTCACAGACATAACAGGATAAAATCCCACACTTGTGTATTTGTGAAATTTATGTAAGAAATTTTCACCAAGTCTTTTGCACTTTTGTTTTTTTGTTTTTGTTTTTTTTTACATCTCAACGTCACGTCTAATGAGGCTGCAATCCCGAGTCCAGTCCTCTTATCCTTCTTGACCGCCTGACCATGTCTCCACTATTCCTGACTGGCAATGTACCTGTGGTAATGTCTTCTACGGAAATATGGTCACACGATCTTTCTGTACTCCTGCTATTCTGGGAACTGGAGTTTAGAGGTGTTCATCTGTATGTTATCCCTTGTAACCTTCTCCATACCCCCAAGGAATGCGCTAATGGGACTGCTTCCATTCAGCCATTTACACTGAGATATAATTTTAATTAACTAAATCATTTTCCTAGTAAAGCTTTTGTTACCAGTGAAGTATTCAGAGTATTTATTAGAACCCCTTCCACTACCCTTCTAGTTCTTATATTATTTTTATAGATTATTTCACATTTCTTAAAATCAATATTGTGATCCTTTTCCCAACTATGGTTAGCTATAGCACTGTTACCAGTCATAATTCAACATGCTTCCTTATGTTCTTCAATTATGATCACAAGTTTTTGCCCGGTTTCCCCAACATAGACCATTACAATCTCTACAAGGTAATATAAAATCTCCTGGAGTTCTATCCTTTCCCAAATTGTATTTGGGTAATTGAAAATGATTGTGTTTTGTATCCGCTACGTTATGGGTCGGTTTACTTAAAAGGTTATAAGGTAATTTCAAACTATATTCTTATCAGGATCCCAAGGGAGTCTCTTAGTTTTTGCGTAAAGAATGCCTTTAGCTTTACTGTGTACTTTTTCAATGAACATGAGGGATAACCTAAATCCAAGACTCTATACAAGTATTTAAGTTCAGTTTCTAGGTAAGACGGGTCACAAGTCCTTAAGTTCTTAGATAAAGACCGGTGAGTACACTTTGCTTAACTGAATTAGAATATGAGAAAAAATGAATATACGAGTTTGTATGTGTCTTTTTACGATAAGTACGGATTGTAAATTGATTGTTGCTTCTACTTGCCATGCAATCCAAAAAGGGGAGTTCTTCATTAAGTTCTTTTTCCATAGTAAACTGCATGGAAAGCTCTAGGCTATTGAGACCATCTAAATACCTATCTAGGTTCTTGAAAGCTTCATCAAATATAGAAAAAACGTCAGCAACACATCTTAACCAGGCTCTGGGACCTTTCCTATCTTTTATTACTGTGTAGTGGTAGAAGGGTAGTGGAAGGGGTTCTAATAAATACTTTGAATACTCTTGCTGGTAACAAAAGCTTTACTAGGAAAATGATTGAGTGAATTAAAATTAGATCTCAATAGATAAATGGATGAATGAAAGCAGCTCAATTAGCCGCATTCCTTGGGGTATGGAGAGGGTTACGAGGAATAGCATCGAAATGAACACCTCTATTAATAACAGTAGTAGTTCCTAGAATAGCAGGATTACAGAAAGGTCACATGACCACATTACCGTAGAAGGCATTACCACAGGTACATCGCCAGTCAGGAACAGAGGTGACCTGGTCAGGCGGTCAAGAAGGATAGCAGCCTCATTAGACGTTGAGATGTAAGTCTCGTCCTAATCACACACTCAGACCTTGACAAAACACTCAGAAGAATGCGAAAGACTTGGTGTAAATTCCTTACATAAATTTCACAAATACACAAGTGTGGGGTTTTATCCTATTTAGTTATTCTGATTAAACTACAGTACTAAAAATGGGTGGGTGAGGAGTTTGTGTGTATGTAGTTAAAGCATGAGAGCTATGGTCATGATTTTTCGTCTTCCCAGCAATCTGTCATATAACGCTTTGAAACTACTGACAGCTTTGGCCTCCACTACTTTCTCACTAAACTAGTTTCAACTGTCTACCACTCTGTTTGCAAAATTAAACTTTTTAATACTTTTTTTGGCACCTTTGTTTCCTTAACTTGAATCTGTGACCTCTTGTTCTTTATCATTTTATGTAGACGAACATTGCTGGTGCAAGAACTGAATCCTGTGGTACTCTGCTAGTTACAATCCTCCTGTCAGATACATTGCCTCTGATTACTGCCCTCATCTTTGTCAAGTTAGAAAATTTTTCATCCACATCAGAAGTCTGTCACCCCTCCAGCATATTCCAGTTTCCAAAACCTCTTGTGTGGGACTCTCGTCAAAAGCCCTTTTTTTTTTTTTTTAGATATACACAGTCAACCCAACCATCTCGTTCCTGTAGAATCTCTGTGGCTCTATCATAAAAACAAAGATCTTACAAAGGATTTTCCTGTTCATTCAAAAAGCACAATGTGTCTTATTATGTCATTACTCTCCATGTGTTCAACCCATTTGGTTTTAAATATTTTTCTAGCATTTTGACTATCACGCTTCTATTATTGTCCCGTATGTTAATACGGGACAATAATTTAGACCCGAGGTGTGTTATTGTGTGTTCACCTATTTGTGTTTGCAGGATTGAGCACTAGCTTTTGGAATGCGCTTTCTATCCCCCAGTTGTCAAATGCAATGACTCTCGACCTATTTTCCTTGTTATATCTACTTTTAAAAGTATGTTTTTAGCACAGTTTATCAGTTGTAGCACTTACGTTTATATTTGCAGTAATTGTTTCTACAACATGTGGATAAAATAACAAATCATGAGTGTGTCCCAATGCATCTTTCTACACTTACGTCTTACGATGTGATGTGTCGATATTTGGCTTCTGACCGTTAATTTCCATCTCTGCTATCTTTGCTTCCATTTCTATTGCTTTGGCTTCCGATTCATATGTTAAACAGCACTTCCTGAAATAAAAAGAAAGGTGAATAAAGATATATCATCTTTCTGATATATGAACAATAGAAAGCACTGTACAGGTCTCAATGCCTGAACTAATTTAATTTTTTAACCTTTCAAAGCCAGTAGCCTTATTTTCTATCTAAGTTCTGCTTACAAAATATGGCGGCAAATTTATTATAAGAAATTAACCATTGCACTGTGACTATTTTTAATGTTTCTTCTAACACTAAAAAATTAATTTATAAATTTTCCTTCTTTAAAGTTATTGCATATGGTAGGAATAGGAATAACATTTTCCTTTGCTATAGTATTGGTCTGGCACATTCACAAATTCATTTTTCATAAAAACATCCTGAAGCTAATAGCCGAATGCAACTTTGTGTGTTGGTAACAATACTGCAATAGAAAATTAATCTGTGGAATTATTCAGAATTGACAAGATAAATTTTTAGATATAATATTGTAAACCTTTTCATTTTATATTAAGGAATTCTAATGCTGTACTGTACTGCATTCATAAAAACAATTACCGTATGAAAAATGTACCAAGAAATTACTTTACTTTTCTTCTTGCATACTTAAAAGATTTAAGTATGTGCATTTGTTCAGGTCTACATGAGCATATTTATCTATAATTGAGAATTATTTATCCTACATGCATGTTCAACATATTTTTAACACTGAGGCATTTTAAATGCCTGGAGAAAATTATACATGGTAAATTTCCTCAAGTGTTGGGCATGTCCAGAGACAATGAGGTACCCTGGATACAAGAGATATTTACAGAATGTGTATGAATGTGGTTTTTAAAGACCAAGCAGAAGAAAGTGATAATTATTAATTATATTATTATTATAATGATTGTTATAATAATAGTTGTATTTAATAATTATCGCTCTTCCTTCTGCTTGGTCTTGAAGGAAGTCGGCCTCGGGCAAAAGAGGACTGTGACGATCTCTGTCTAGAACCCGTAGGTGCAGGACAGAGACGTCCACCTCCTGGGATTTGTGTGGCCCAGGCTTTGCTTCAGGCGGCTGGGGTCATCCTTGCCCTTGATGGGGTGGTTCTTCTCCGGCCCCGACCACGGTGGTCTCCGAGTCTGGAGTCCACATGCCTTCTTTCACCAACTTCGAGGTCAACTCCGGAACTCACAGTTCCAGTGACAGCACTGGAACCAATCGTATTGGCGTTTGCCTTTCCATTGGAGACTTTTGGCACTGTGGAGAAGGGGGGGGGGGGACCTGCTGCTTGGGTAACAGCTTCTCCGTATCAACCTTCCCTAGCTTTGTGCTCTGGAGAGGCCACTCTAGACCGACAACCAGAGCACAACTCCATAGTCTCCTGAGACTGATGGATGCTTACTACTACTATGCACGTGGTTGATTTAAAATGCACATGAATGGGCCTAAATTTTCCTATCTGCATGCAGACTTGTCATTGTCGAATGCATATGCATTATGCACTCTTATAGTGAAATTGCTAGAGATACAACTGAAAGCTTATATAATCCTTTCAAACTTGATAAATGATGCCAGCCAGTTCTTACCATCCAAAGTGCATTGTTGTTGCAGTCTTTCCAAATGCCATTAAATCAGCAACACCCTTTTCAGTGATGGCACCGGGGAAATTCAGGTAAATAACGCAATTGTCCTTTTGAGGTTCCTAGAAAAATTATACAATATTTAATAAAGTTGCAGTCAACCAAATTAACCAAGCTCTAAAAAAGATAAGTATATTATTCAAATGGCAATACAGTATCACTAACATTAATTTGTTAAAGGCTTTAAACTATATCTGGTAATTACAGATGACAATTACAAGGTATTCTTTCTACTTACAAACACAATTATGAATATTCTTAAAACAAATGTGCCTCCCACCTCTGGCCTCTGTATGGCATCAACTTCAACTTTCTACTCATCTAGTTCCATACTCCTACTACAGTATAGTCTTATCCCAAGCAGCACTTTCATATGTACTTTGTTCAGCTGTGTGTTAATTCTGTCCGTGTCCTCTCAATTTGTTTCCTTTTTTAAATATTTAATTTTAAAAACTACATATTTCCTTTTTTTCCACTCTGCCAATTTCTTTAACTGTTATTATACCTCCTCATTTAGCTCCCTCTATTTTTCCTCAATACTCTATCCCACACAATTCATGTTGCAAATTTCTGTATCTTTTAAAGTTTTCTTACAAGCATCAGAAGGCTGGAATTAAGGACTAGCTTCATATGTAGCAAAAACAAATGTGGGAGCTATATGAATATTAGTTATTTACTATCCCAGGTAAATTTAATGGAAGGCTGTAAATTGGGAGAGTAAGGTGAAGCAAAATTTCTAAACCCACTCATACTCAGGGGAGGTATGAGTGATTTTAGGAATGTAGAGGACTGTACAGATAAGATTTTTACTGCGAGTGGTTGTTGTTGAATGTTGAAAAATCTATGAAAATGCATAAATGAATTTACTGTGAAGCACTGTGGAGATTTTGAGTATCAAGAGTAAAAAGTTTATTAACAATAAAATTGTGTACAAGAATGATCACAAGGTAGAGGAAGACCACCCATATCTTGGAAGAGTAGGACAATTTATTTACGGGGATGAAAAGAGGTTAAGAGAACTTGAAAGAATTAAAGGTTTGTGTGGTGACAAGAATCACGGAGAAACTTCTACTATGGCCACTGCCTACAGGACAGCTGTGGTAAGGCATTGAGACTATACACAGAATAAGAAAACAAAAATTGTTTAAGACTTACTGCTTGCACTGATCCATCTTGATAACCATAGCCTTGTACCCAAGATGCAACTCCTGGATATCCACCACGGGCGCCCCTAACCATAGCTCTTCCTCCCCTTGTGCTGCCTCTCCCTCTTGAGATAGCTCCACTTCCCCTAATAACACGTGCTCTCCTTATAAACCCTCTTCCCCTGGAAAAGTCGTTTGTGTACTCCATCATACTACCTCGGCCACTTGAATACGCACCTCTGCCTCCCCTGGCAATTCCTCTAGTTCCATCGAAAGTACCTCTCACTCCCCTGAAAGTACTTCTGCCTCTTTCATAACTCACCCTACCTCTTCTTATTCCCCCTCGAGCCGGATCAAATTCGCCGCCTCCATCGAAGCCTCCCCTCCCTCCCCTTACGTTGACTCTTCCGCCTCGAGCCCGAACTCCTCTTACTGCACCACGTGTCCCATCAAAAGTAGTTTTTCCACCCCTGTTACTTTCAAAACCGCCACCTCGGCCTCCACTGTAATTTGTTCCTCTGCTTGCAGTATACCGGCTACCTCTAGGTCTTCCAGTAATGTAACCAGTACCTCTGCCTCCACTATAGCCACTCTCTCTCTCTGCCTCATAATTACCATAGCCTCCACCCCTCTCCTCCATATATCCAGCATAATTGCTTCTATCCTCATATCCAGCATAACCACTTCCTCGATTGTCACTGTAGCTTGCATATCCACTCCTTGTATCTTCATAGCCAGTGTATGCAGGTGCTCGTTCAGTACTATATCCAGTATAACTAGGTTCTCTCACATCATAGCCACTGTAGCTGTAGTCTGCATCTCTCGGCTCAGCATAACCTCCATAACTGCTACTCTGATCTTCAACATAGTTACTGTAATTACTTCCTCCAGCATAGCCACCACCTCTGCTTCCAGGATAACCACCTCCCCTTCCTCCACTGTAACCACCACTGGATCCTACTTCATAACCACTATCCATTGCTTCACTATACCCACCACTTCCTCCTCCAGTATAGCTGCTGCCTCTGCCTGCACTGTAACTACTGCCTCGGCCAGTACTATAACTGCTCCCTCGGACTGTATTATAGCTACTGCCTCTTGCCCCAGTTCCCCTTCCTCCTCTATATCCACTTCCCCTTCCACTATCATAAGAGCCCCTTCCTCCTTTAAAACCCCCCCTTTCTTCATAGCCTCCACCTCGCCCACCTCTGAAGCCTCCCCTACTTCTAAAACTCCTACCCCTGGGCATCATTCCATTGGATCTATCCATCTTTGGGGTTTAACTGATCTGCGTTTGTCTTCCTCTTGTATGTCAGTATATATTCTGGAATTTCACTCACAAATGGTTGTGAATATTGAGCTACAACTCTTGGTTTCTTGACAGGCTTGGGAGCATGATATAGAATCTGAAAAAAAAAGTTATTTAAAAAAAATAAACAAAAGTTATAATGTTAATAATCTAAGATCAAGTATAACAAATATTCTATCTTTACATGTTAGTTATGTCAATTCTGGCTAGACAATGCAATACATTACAAAATACTGTAATTACATTACACACACTAATGTACAGTAACTGTTGTTTTTTTTCATAATACTGTACATGTAACATTCTAGAATATATGTATTATACAGTATCTGTATATTTACCAGTATATATATATATGTATATATTTATTATTTTGGTAACCATCATATAGTGGATAACATTTCATTTACTTGGACACTGCAGACCACACAAGGAACTGATAAAATAAGCCAGACACCCCCACCATGGCACCATCAAAGGGGTAAACCACAACAAGGCCAATGTAAACCAGGAGCGGAACCATCTGTCCGCGATACATAGTTGTAATGTTGAGCATAAGAGGAACTTGCAGTCAGAATCAGACTCACTAAGAACTTACCTTGACCAACAGAAGGTGAGGCCCCAACCCAATTAGACAACCAATAACAAGTCGGCCCAAAACCTCAGAAATATAGCAGCTGGTTAATAGGCCAACAGGAAAAGACCACAGCCTACAAAATCTGGGAGATGCCTCCCCAGGAAAGAGAAGTAGAAAGGGGAGGTGGGCAAAAGGATAAGAGATCAAGCTGAATCTGAAGACCAAGCCAACACAGCCTCTATTGACACCACAAAGTGAACCAAGTAAAATGCCACAAATGCCTCCTGAAGGAATAGTGAGCAGCCTTACTACAGGCCCCAAGGCCTCCACACCTGGGGCAAAGCAAAGCAAAGCCACATCCTGATGGAGGTGCCCAGAGAACCCCTCTACATGAACCCAAATATGCACGACCAAAAGGTTGCATACTGGAGAACATTGTGAAGCACTTTCAAATCACATACAGCGTACAGAAAAAAACAATGCAGGCAAAGTTCAGGCTGCAAAATAAGTCCTCAAGGTCCTAATAAGAAAGCCAAGATGGCAGCCTAAATGTGACAGGGCTGACCAGTGGGAGCCATCCTCGTAAACCAGAGACCAGCATTTATCAGGCATTTACATCTTTACTTAATTAATTAATAAGAAACCTGTGCATCTTTTCATGATCATGGCAGCTCAGTCTGTATTTATTACACCATTTATGAGATTTGAAATGCTGCAAGGTTGTTCTTGACCCAAGGTTATTATTATTAGACAACCTTGTTGCACTTCAAAGTGCACAAGCTGTTTAATAAATGCAAACTAAGCTATTATGATTGAGGAAAGATGTTCAGATTTTGTAAGTAGATACTAAGTGCTTATGAATCCTGACCCAGAACAGTTCCAGCCAAGGCAGAATCCAGGAAAAGAGCAACCGAAACGTTTGCCAGTTGACCAGAATGCTAAAGCAACCCAACTGGGAAAGAACCAGATCCCTGGACAGCAGACACGCCAAAAAACTGCAGGCTCACAACACCTGCAGTTGTTCCACCTGATGTACCTGGTAAGATGGTGGTCACCCATCTTATCTTATCCCTTCCATCATGACATAAGGAATGGCCCCATTGACAATCAACTGATCCAAGATATAGGAAGACTCCAGAGTATCTCACTTGGGTATAGGAAAGAAGTGTGACACCATCATTCAACAAACTTGACACCAACCAGTGACAACCAATCACATCAACAGGGTGAGAGATCTGACCCACTGCAGACCAAGGACATTAGAAGGTGCTCATGATGTCTCCTCACTACACTGCCACCACCGGTCAAACCACAAAAGAGCTAGTGGAATAAACCAAGCCAAACCTGGCCAAGTGCTTAATTTGCCTGCCTAGTAGAGCCACTATATGTGCAGGCAGAATTGCAAGCACCTAGGTTACACACACACACACACTAGAACTCCTACTCTGTCCAGGAGCCCAAGGAACATGGACACCAGTCTGGGCCAATCCAGAGCCGGACTTGTTGGACTCGTCTAAGTGTCATCTTACACTTAGCGTAAAGCAGAAGATTGGGCCTCCAATCATGTTCTGTAATTTTTTTTTTGTATTTCTGATGCTGGCCGAGTCCCTTGGTGACTTGGGATACCACCTGGTGGCACTCAGAAAGATCACAGTTACGGTGCCGAGTGTTTACACCAAGGCAATGATTGTTTACTTACCTTCAAGTGCTCAATTTTCTTCAAGCAGTTGTTTAGTTGTGTCTATGCTCTCTGGTAGTTACTAACTTTAGATACAGTGTAACGTTTCCTTCTAAATACAGTACTAACTTTGGATACCAAATAATGTTATAAATTGTACAGTATTAAGATACTTGTAAACAAACGACATTATTTTTCATCTATACAACTCCTCTGAACATCATTATAAGTTTCATTTACCCTCTTGGCACTTATATTTGTCAATTTAGCATACTAAATCTACCCAAAGCTTACCACATGATCTGGTGCTTTCTATGATAATTCCTGGTCAACAAGGAGAATCAGTTTCATTGCTGGAAGCCATGCAGAAAGGCTGAAAATTGGTACATTACTTTATACACACCAGATAAAGCTGTAAAAATACAAAAATTGGAGTTGGTTTACATGACAGTATATATACCTCCTACTTAGGTATGGTAGCCTTGTATTATTGAGCTGAAACCTACGTTCATAAGTGACATTAATCACTCCTTTTGCAGCAAAGAAAGTTAAATGCTAATAAGAAACAGCATATTCTGCATTCCACTGGTATGGTATGACTTACAGTATAATAATTCAAAAGCTATCAAAATCATAATGAATCATACCCTAACTACAACCACTAATGAAAAGTTTAAGTTTACACCCATATTCCTCTAACATTTATCATGTTTGTTTATTCTCATACTGTACTTCCTATTATCACCCTACACTTAATTTCATTTTCATCAGTGTATCATCGCCCATTCATTTAACAAGGCCAAACATCTTGGTGTATTATGTGCAACCTTGCAATTTACAGGTTTTTCATACTATATCTTGCAATGACATTTCCATCCATGCTCCTCAAGCTGCCCATTTCTACTGCTCTAATTCTTGAGTTGTCACGTTCATGCCACGTCAATGCCTCATCCATATACGGTGGACTTGTGAAACAGTGGACTCCCTCTTAAAACTGGACCAAATCTGCCCATCATATTACCTTCCAAAATTTGTATTTCTGAAGAAAAAATCCAGCTTATGGAGGACTATGAAATCTGGATTATGGGTTATCACCCATAATCCATAAATTCCATCATCTCACTTTCCTAATTTCCCCCACATTTTCCCATTTTAATTGTAAATGTTATGGCTATTATCTTGTGCCATGAATATATTAGCTGGCAGTATTCACAAGCAATTGTGGAAACATTAAAAGATGAATTAACCTTTACTGGTACATTAGCTCAGTATATATACTTAAGAACAACACAATTTTTGTTAAGTTTATCAAGGCTTTTCCAAGGCCAAGGGCAAGAGCCTGTACAGTCACCCTTCCGGGTACTGACCAGACAACACAAATCATTACACAAAATTAATCTTATTTTGTAACACTAAAATGGCACTCCAATGATTAATTTTATTGTAATTACTTGCCAGACACCCCAAGATTTGGGAATTTCCCTGGCAGCCCCAGGGTCTGGCAAGGCACTACAGTGCCAAATGTTCAGTTGCTCCCTCTCAGCCACCCTTGAAGGCATGGGGGGCCTGGGCACTGGGCGTGTAAAAACAATGGTGGGTTAGGCTGCCTGGCTGTCTCGTGTTCTACCATAACATGCTCTAAAATAACACCACAGAACTACAATCTTAAATTACCACCTCAACCACTTATTAAGGAACCAGCGCTACCATTCAGTATCCAAGCGGAAGGAAAATTAGTAAAAAAAAAGCTCATAAGACTTAAATTACTAATGCCACATTTGTACCAGCCCAATTCTATGCCGCAAATTTTATCTTTCAAAAGCCTGGAATTACCCACCTAATAACAGGATACGCCACTAACTGGGCCCTAGGGCAAAAGTAGCTGCTCCGCTCTCACACACATGTACCAGTTACGTGTCGGGATGCGTAGAGTGAGAATAATCCTGACATTTAAGAGCGATGGGTGGTGTAGGAGCCGCTGGACGGTAAGGCTGAGCGTCCATTGCCTGCCATCCCTCGCGCCTCCCGTTCCTTTACCCAGAATCCTCCTTCTAACATCATTATAATTTCCTGGATTTTTACTTTCATTAACGTTCATATTTAATTAGAATCCGTAGAATAATACTGTTTTTATATTAAAGTTGTTTAAATTCGCCCATAGGGGTGTTATATTTAAATAATTTACTAACTAATTCAAAGTGGGTGACGCGTTCGGCTGCATCTCACGAACGCAGCGTCTCTCGTAAACAGCAGGATATTTTCCCTTTTTTATGGCCTAGATATACGCCCAGTTGTGCTGCCGACACATTAATATACCATAACACGCTTAAAGTTATAACCTAAAGGAAAACGGCCTAATTCGTGGCTATATGAAAGGAATATTTCGTCTCATGGAGTCCAAGAGATGAGGCGTAATTGATGCTTCTTCAAAGCCTTGGCGTAACGGCGTACATTGACATGTACATATATTACTTCCAAAGCTTTATTTTACTACTTTTTACCAAATAAACGTGCCGACATTAAAATTTACTCAATATATTGGTAAAAATAATACAATTTTTCGTATTATTGTCTTTGAATGTGTTGCCGGCTACGCCTAAACTATAAAGGAATGCTCCAAGAGGCATTTAACAATGACGTCATAGCTCCCATCATGCAGCAGCTGCCGCCATAACTCAAATTATCTTACGCACTGTGATAACCCTCCTGTATATTCTTAATGCATGCTCCGAGGGAATACCGTATTGGGAATGCAATACCTAAATCGACATTTGGAGGTCTTATTATAGCATTTGGATGAAAGGCTATCCATCGATTACCCCAATCAGTTGTAGGCCATATCCAATCATACTTATCCAGCACTTAAGAAAGATTACATGGTCTAAGATTAGGTATGTGATATTTTTTAAACTAAGAAAATACTATATTAAAGGAATACAACTGAAAGCAGTTTAGTTTAGTTCATTAGTTATGGTCCCCCATAATTGAAATGGTTACAGTCACATGCATATAATGGGCTAAGAAAATGAACCCCATATACTCGTTTAGCTAAGCAAGCTGCAGCATTGATCAGCCAGTTACAGAGTTTGTTAACATATACAACAGTATGCTCACAGTTCTTGTTACTTTAACCATAACAGCTGTATGAAGCAACATTCTGGGAAAACACTGGGAATGCAGGTAGAGTTGAGGAAAGGTCGTTAGACGCTCTGGGGTAAGACTGATGAACAAAACCAAGATATTGACTAGACCAAGAACTAGTTCATTTACAGATAAACTAAATGGAGCCCAAACACGAGAGACAAGAGTTTCCAATAATAAGAGGTCGACCCACTGTGCAATGAACACCATCAATGCACTGGATATCACAAACACAGTTCCTGAGAAGGGTATGTGTCAGCGAAATACACGCAGACTTCGTTGTGCAACGCCCTTGAGAATCATTGCCAGCAAACTTTATGATTGTGGCTCTTCTGGGAAAAAAGAATCAGGCTAACCCCCATCAGTTACGCATCATTGCACAGATGGATACTGAAGCAAATTTGGTATTCACACAAATGTTTGCAGGTGAAGACAACGAATGAGCTTCTTGATTATGTCGCATCCTTAAAGTGTGACATAATCAGGAAGCGCATTAACAAACTAAAAAGACTCTAAAGTCAAACTGAATTATGTCCAAAATCGTAAAGGAATTGACTCTTCATGCCTACCTCCGAAACTCCTTTTCCGAAAATCTCTGGACCAAGTGATAGTTCCCCTTAGATTGGACATATGCAAGTCACAAGAGAACCAATCCACAAGCATCCCAAGCACATATGCGACTGAAAACTCCATATTCCAGAAGTGACTCGAACCCAAACCACCAGGAGCACAATGCAACTGGGGTACATGGTACCTTAACCGCTTGACCACACAAAAAAGACGATGGTAGCCGAGGCTAATTCCCCATCGTCCCGACGGCACTTTGATAGTAATCTTGAGCATAGTTATTTCATCAAATCACCTCATTTTTGTGGGGCCACGTGAGCAATACAAAAATGAGGTGATTTGATGAAATAACTAAGCCCAAGATTACCATCAAAGTGCCGTCGGGACGATATTTAATTAGCCTCGGCTACCATCGTCTTTTTGTACGGTCACTGATGGTCAAGCGGTTAAGATATCATGTACCCCAGTTGCATTGTGCTCCTGGTGGTCTGGGTTCGAGTCACTTCTGGGGTGTGAAGTTTTCAGTCATATATATATATATATATATATATATATATATATATATATATATATATATATATATATATATATATATATATATATATATATATATATATATATATATATATATATATATATATATATATATATATATATATATATATATATATATATATATATATATATATATATATATATATATATATATATATATATATATATATATATATATATATAACTGAATTTCTTTCCTTTACATTCTCGTAAAATTTGATGTGCTGCTTATTTTTCCTGTGTTGCAATCCAATTTTGATGGAGACTATTAACTAGCCTGTACAAGACGTATCCATTCACGTCTTCAAGACATATCCATCAATGTTCAAGACATATCCATCAATGTTGAAGACATATCCATCAATGTTCAAGACATATCCATCAATGTTGAAGACATATCCATCAATGTTCAAGACATATCCATCCCTTTCAAGACATATCCATCCACTTCAAGACACATCCATCCATTTCAAGACACATCCATCCACTTCAAGACATATCCATCCACTTCAAGACATATCCATCCATCTTCAAGACATATCCATCCATCTTCAAGACATATTCATCCACTTCAAGACATATCCATTCAATTCAAAACATATTCACCCATCTTCAAGACATATCCATCCACTTCAAGACATATCCATCCCCTTCAAGACATATCCATCCCCTTCAAACATATCCATCCACTTGACGACATATCCATCCAGTTGACGACATATCCATCCAGTTGACGACATATCCATCCACTTGACGACATATCCATCCAGTTGACGACATATCCAGGCACCAAACCCTGAGAATCCTTGCGGGAAAGCTGTGTTGAGTCCCTGACCCGGAGAATGTCGCCCTGGGACCTTGTGGCTCACACACTCCAAGACTTCCTCAGCTGGTGCTAATTAACAGGGATCACCTGGATGTTCCTGCCTGGCTGAGCCCCTTCAGGGTGTCGCTGCCTCGCTCCAGCTCCGCCTTTGATACCAACTCCATTTTCCAAAGGTACTAAACTCTTCACATATCAGTCATTTACGGGCCCGAAAGAATTACTGGAAAAATCATAATACTGACTGTACAGGTTTCAATAGTTGCAGTTGTTGGAATACACTAGAGGTAACGATGGGTCATGACACGATGCTGTAGTCTTGATTTTCACCCTTATGTATTTGGGGCAGTTGTTTGTTACAACGGGTTAATGAATTACACAACGAATTACTGCCCGAAACGCTGCCCGTACTAGTGGCTTTACAAGAATGTGATTACTATGCTATGTATCCTCACAATGCCAGTGTACCTTCTTGTATATAAATAAATAAATAAATAAATAAATACATAAACGTGAAAAAATGTAGCAATAATAACAATAAAAATATAAATTAACATAATAATAATTCCAATAATAATAATAATGAGAAAATTCGTAGGAGCCTCTACTACATTTCTCTTTCTCTCTCTCTCATTTCCCCAGGGTGCAGCCCATAGCAGCTGTCTAAGTCCCAGGTCAGTCCGTCGTTCTAAGGTTTTTCCAACGTCAAGAAACTGTTGTACTAAAGTGCCCCCTATCCTAACCTACCCGAGGACCCAGAACAGAAAACGGGACACTATGACAGTTTCGCGAGCCGCTACCATTTTCTAGTACGACAATGTTTGCCCGTAGATAGAGTATGCGTCAAAATGCGACGCTCTATTAGGGGGACAGGTTGCCCCTATGTGCGCTGCTCGCTCGGCCGCCAGGACCTGTCATGATTTGACTCACCAATAATACAAAAGAAATGGTAATAAATCTCCTATCCCTGAAAAAAAGTAAATTTTCTTCAAAACACGTAGATTTTTTTTTTTTTACAAATAATAAAAAATGTATAAATTCAGTCATTTATAAAGTGGTTTGAGATGACTAGATGTAATGTATAATGTATGCATTAATGTACTGTCCTGGAAGTCGACGTGTTGGTTGATGAGTCTTTCGGTTTCTTTTGTTTCGTAAATTCCAATTACTCTCCTCGATTTAGAAAATGGGCTGCTAATCTCATGGTCAAATTGCTTTAGTGATTTTTTCCAGGTGATCTTGTGACGACCCGCCGAGAAATAGCCTTTGTGCGTGGATTTTCTCTCAATAGAAGAGCATTGCGGATTTTTGTTTGGTAAATAATTAGTAATTTAGAATTTGAATATATATTGTATTATTGATGTTTCACACGCATTATATATATATTTCCAGTTGAAGAGCTGGACTTCACATGATCATTAACAGAGAATATATTCAAGGGCTCACCATAGCCCGTGCTACTTGGAACTTTTTGTTCCAAGTAGCGAATCTTAAACAACAACAACAACAACAACAGAGAATATTTAATAAAATAAATATTAAAAAAGAAACAGAGCCGAGGGAATTATCAGGGAAAAACGCCACGCCATTACGACTATATAGCACCTGGATAAAAATAAGTCAGGATAAGGATTTGGGATGGGACGGAGGGAAGGAATGGTGCCCAACCACTTGGACGGTCGGGGATTGAAGGCCGACCTGCATGAAGCGAGACCGTTGCTCTTCAGTCCATCTGTGGTTTTGTTCGAACCACAACCACACAACCCGTCCTCGACTCAAGTCCATTACATCCAGCGGTCGACCCCACAGACGCATTCATAAATTTTAACATGCTGTTCATTCAAAACGGGAATTTTCTCAAATATAAATTAATATTATAATATATTAGCATATTGTGAATATATAGGCATAGGTTAGGTTAGGTGTTTAGGTTCTGTT